TGAGTGCATTCACTTTTTATTTACTGTAAATAATGAGAGATAATACTAAATCAAAACCAAAATGATCTTTTAAGCATAGTTTCCATTTTATTTGACAGATGCATTGGATGCTTTGTATTGACTAAAACACACAAGACGGATACAATTCTTGACATAAATACATCACCAGGATAAATCACCATTATATTATAAAAACACAGAGTGAAGCAGAGCGAGTTCCTGCTGTAGAAATGTAGCAGCAGCAGCTTTTTCCTAACATGCAGGACTTTTCTGTTGGATTATTTCTTTCTTGTCACTGTTCACAATTGGAGTCTCTAATCTGTCCTAGCCTTTTTTCATCACTAGACCTCTGCAATAATAGTAAACCAAATATGATATTCTCTTGCATTGTTTATTTATTTATTTAAAATGCTAACAGAGACGTTACAGTATTGTTGCAGACTTTTTGTCCGAGCTTGTTGCTACATATTCTCACTGCGGTATTCCTCGCTGGAGTATTTGAATCATGCCAACAATGTGGAAGCTGACAAAGACCATCATTATGTTTGGGCTTTTTGTGTTTTTTTTTGATGCAGAGGTTTGATGCTGTGATCGTGGCGTTGGAGAGCGGACAAGCTGTCGACCTAAGTTGCCTTCCTCCTTCTCCTGAAGACGGTAAGTACGATGGGGTAACTGGTTTTATTTTAGTAAGCAAAGGACAGCAGACAAACTCTTTATTTCTCTTTTAAGACAAAAGACAGAATAAGACTGATTGAGATAGATCTTATTGAGCTACAGAAAGAGTTATCTGGACACTCTTTCAACATAGAATCATGTCAGGAGTTACGAGTGGGTTTATAGTTGGATTTGGAAAATTGGGAAATATAAAAGAGAGTGAAGAAAACAAACTTTTGATTTATAGTTGTTGGGGAAAAACAGTCTTGATTTATCAAATTCTTATAAAAAGGGTCTTCTGGAAAGCAAAGCTGACATATTTTCCTGTATTCTTTTAGTACTTAAGTCAGTATTATGACAGAAACTTGCAGTCTGGGCTTCAATATGTTGTCGTTCATTGTGTGTTTTGGTGTTGTAGGTACAGGCGGGGGTTCTACTCCTGTGAAAAGCCCCCCCTCCGTGCCAGATATAGAAGTCACTAAACCAGTTACAGCAGCTCCAGGTAGTAATATTGTCAACGTGTGTTAAGCCTTGGTATTCGCTTGTATTTCTGCCATGATCTGTCATTCTTTTTGACGAGTCAATAATACAACAACTTTTCCTAAAAATGTTTACATGTCTGATAATCAATGATAAGAAAAGATTAGATCAACTTTAGGGATTCCTCATTGGAGGCAAAGGTAGATGAATCATAAAGTTGCAGGCACACATGGGTGAAAAGGGACTAATGAAAATAGAGAAACTCATACCATTAGTTTCATAACAATGGCTTCCTGTCCCTTTAAGGATGTAGCAGCGTAAAAGTGAAACATAACGAAGCTGCTTTTCCTAAAAAGGAGAAAAACAACACCCTTATCTATTATCTATTCCTCTGTCAAATTCTTCTTGATTTAAGGTGAAAAAAACCAAGGCACTCTTCTGGAAAAAATAAAAATAAAGAATTATTGAGCTATGTAACAACCCACACGTAGTGGCACAAGCCTTCTTCTTCACACCCTGAAGAAAGCTGTTTTGTATCTTTGTTATTGGACATGAAATAGAAAAACCGAATGAGAAAGTCCTTGACACATTAAACATGTTCTCCCTCAGCCTCTGCCCCCATCAGCTCCAGCAGTGCCCAAAGACGTGCTGGAGGCTCTGGAGCAGAGACGAGCCAAGTACGCCGAGGCGTCCAGTGAGGCCAAAGCCAGTGGAGACGACCGCAAGGCTCGAATGCACGACCGCATCGCTAAGGTACAAGAAGACACTCGCCTCCTGATGTCTGTTTTCCCCTCTACACAACAAAACATATATTACACCTTTCTAAAAAATAAGATAAACACGACACATCTTTCTCTTTCTACTCCATGAAAACAGTTTTTTTCTGCAGTGTTAAACGTATTGAACTTTTCTTCAGCAATACCAGAGCGCCATCCGAGCTCACAAAGCAGGGAAAGCTGTCAACTTTGAGGAGCTGCCTGTTCCCCCTGGTGAGATACTTTTGTGATTATTTTAATGAGTCAACAGTGTGCCTTTGTTTAAATGTAAAAAGTTAAGGTGTATTCAAAATGTGATTCTTGATTCTTTGTGTGTTCTGTCAGCGAGTTTCTGTCACAAGACCTGTTTTTAATACTTGACCAAAAGAGAAAATGAAGACCTTAATGTTCGAGAACTTTTTTTTACAAGTCTGAGTTAATATTGTCTTTTTTTTTCTTTCAGGGTTTCCTCCGATCCCGGGTCAGAAGGCGACGGGAGTAGAACAGGGATTCATCGCTGCTCTACAGGCAGCAGATAAGCTAGCCTCAACAGATGCTACTGAATTAGCAAACGAAGAAGAAGACGACGACGAGAAGGAGGAGGAGGTGAGCTTTCACCAAAGTATTAAGTTGTTCTTGATTCATTTTTTTTGTTGACAAGTTGTTGACACAATGTTTTGTGTGTATTGCAGTCTAAGCCAGCTCCTCAAGTGGCACCAAAGAAGCCCACATTAGACATCCCAACTGCAGGTCAAGGAAAAAAAAGGACCCCATCCCCTTCCCCTGACAGAACTTCAACCAGAGAAGGACTCTCACTTACAGGTCAGTCTCTAAAAAACAAACACTAAGACCAGCAGAGCATCTTACAGAAGATTATGTACATTCTGTGAAGAGAAAAGATATTTAAGTGATCCAATTTGTCTCATATTGCAGCACATGTTTACAGACCCACAAAAACTCTACATTTAGACTGAGCACCAAAACATGCTGGTGCCTTCAGGGGGGGTCATGGATACATGGATATTAGAGCGCTTTAGCAGAATGATTCACGGATGGTGTGATCACGATTTCTGAAATAGAACAGCGCACAAATATTTCTCCTGAAACAGAGGAGCCGATCACTTTGAATGTTCATTCTAGTTTGTGTTAATACATCATTAGAACGTCTGTGCTCTTATCCGGAGGAGACATTTGTCATTTTGAACATGGCAGTGGCATTCACTTTATCACTTGTTCGGGTAAAATTACAAGCCAAGTAAGACCTGTGTGTGTCTGGAAACGAGACACATGTAAGAATGAATTAGTTTAAATCAAGAAGATTTTGATCAAACAGGTTTCAGGACTGCAGTGTTGGATTCCCTTCTATTGTAGTCATCAATGAGCATCCAGATCTGTCAGGCAGCAGCACGGGAATGTGTTTGTTAACTAAGTAGTGTGACAGAACTATTCACATCTCTGCTCACTCTACTTGTGTGCACTCGGTTAACTTTGGATTTTCTTTCTCGTCTCCAGCGGTTCAACAGCTGGAGTTCCTGGAGGGCAGGAAGAAGCAGTACATGAAGGCGGCTCTGCAGGCCAAGCAGAAGAACGAGATGGAGCAGGCGAAGATCTTCCTCCGTACCGCTAAAGGCTTCGACCCCATGATCGAGGCAACGCGCAGCGGTAAATCTGTGGACATCAGCAAGGTGAGGAGACGGGACACGTACAAGCTTTTACAAGCTTTTTTTTTTTTGAAGTCCATGATCATTTTTTATATGTTTAAACTTGTTTTGTTTTACAATCACATGAAAAGGGGACACGTGTTCTCTTTATTTCTCATGAATAAAGAGGGGAATTGTTTGCAATCCAAAGCTTTTATGTGACTCTCTCTGTGCCTGTAGGTGCCGTCGCCCCCTGCTGACGAAGACGAAGACTTCATCCTGGTACATCACAGCGACGTGCAGATCTCGGAGAAAGCAGAGCAGGTCTACACACAGCTGGTCAACATCCTGAAGGAGCAGTACGAGGTAAAACTTCACCATGAGGACAGAAGAAGAATTTCTCGATGACTATAAGACATGCATTGCAATAGTTTGCATCTATAACAACACAACTCTTAAATCTGAAACTTGACTTTAAGGACAGTATTTTTAAATTAAAGCAAAAAAAATGTTGGAGCTCCATTAACTTTTTGCTCGGGTCACATTCAGATCTTTTCTTTAACTTTAAATGTTCAAAAAAAGTTCTAAAAATAATTCAGATGAAAACGGTCTTTGTGTTTCTTTTCCCACTAGTTTGCTTTCTCTGTTTTAGTTGTTTTTTGTCGCTGTGAACACAAAACACAAACATGCTTTTTGAGATGTTTGAGGTTTCTTCTGACTTCCTTCCTTTTAGAAATGTATGACCCACTCAAAGCAGTTCACTCACCTGGGGAACGTGGCAGAAACAACAAAGTAAGCTTCCTGTGAAACAACACTTTATGCACCATCTCTAAAATGAGTCCTCTCTGCAGTAAACATGTTTATCTGTTGGATGAAATGGATTATCCATTAAATACAACTGTTCCTCCCATCAGTCTATAAATGTTACAAATGACAAATCATTATTTTATCAAGAATCCGTACATGTGTTGTTTTATTACACGACGTTGAAATAAAGCAGCGCAGCTTTTGAAAGTGTCTCGTATATGATGCTTGTGCTCCAGGTTTGAGAAGATGGCGGCGGGCTGTAAGAGGAGTCTGGAGGTCCTGAAGCTGGCTCAGTCGAGAGGTCTTTCTCCTCCTAAACATCACTTTGAGGAGAGATCGTTTCACACCGTCAGGTGAACACAAGTCATACTTTAATGTTTACAGTTAACTGAAGCCTTCTTTTGTTTCTCATTTGTCAGTTCTAAACGTGTAAAACAAGTACAGACTTGGAGATCATGAAAATGATGCTTTATTAAATACTCAAAGGCTACTTCATTAGGTTCACTTACACAACTTAAAGCTGGCTCAGTCGAGAGGTCTTCCTTCTAAACAATAATACAGATCTGCTTCAAATTCTACAAGAATGAAAAAGAACATAAGTATTTTTGGTTGAAGTTGAGGTGTGAAGGTAAATTTAATATTAGAATATAAAGGTAGTGGTGATTATATCAAATAGTGTTGGAAAAAGAATCAGAAAGACTTTATATCTGGATATATTGAAGTTATCATTAATTAAATGTTAAAGCAACAAGTCAGTCCTATTCTAATCCTGTCCACCCTGTCTTCTGTAGGATATTCCCAGAGCTGAGCAGCACTGACATGGTCGTTGTTATCATCAAAGGGATGAACCTTCCTGCTCCCAATGGTAACAAATAAAATATTCAGTAACAGTCGTTATACATGCTGTCAAATAAGTCTGAAGGATGTGAGCAAAATACATTTTGTGACCTTTTCTGTTTTTAAGTTGTACTAAAAATATCTTTAAAACATGTCCTAATGTGTGTCAGCTTTATGTTGATGTTTAAGCTATTTAGACCTCGTGAATAAGTTTTACAAAAACGTTATCATGTAGAAGCTTTAAAAACAAACGAGTCTAATTCAACGTGTTGATGCTTCTTTCTCCTTCAGGGATCCAAACCAACGACCTTGATGCCTACGTGAAGTTTGACTTCCCCTACCCCAGCACGGTAACAAACTGAAGCTTCTATTTAACCTCACATCCTCCTCAGACTCCTGACATGTTTTCGTTCAAGTGACTTTATTTGTTAATGGTCTGTTTTCTTTTTTGTTTTTTTTAGGAGCAACCGCAAAGAAACAAAACTTCTGTCATCAAGAACACAAACTCTCCAGGTGAGACTTGAACATCTTTGTGGATTTATGTGTGTGTAATGCTTTCATATCATTAGCGTTGGTGTTTGTGGACCAGAAGATCTTTTAGTTTCTTGACTTCATTACATTTATACACTGCTTTTGATTTAAAAAAAAGAAGTGTTTTCCTGGACTTATTTAATGTTTTTAAGCGAGTACAGAAGTTATCTACCATCATATTTAAAATATCTTCAGGTATTATGTTTCACTTATTTTTACTCTTTTGTATTTAAGGTCATTTACTAAATTAGAACCATACTGTTTTTATGAATTTCCAAATAATTCAAAGCAACAATATATTTAGAATCTGATCCAACAAAGCATTTTTATTTTTATTCTTAATAACAGTACTGCTAAAGTGAGGATTCAAAATACATCATTTCAAAGGAGAATGTAAATGCCTTTGAAAATTAGGAGGATAGTGTATGTGAGATACGATACAATACAAGACACTTTATCGTCCCCTTGGGGAAATTTGTCTGGGAAATTTGTCTGGGCCAAACATTCAGCTGCTTCCACTTGAAACAATAAATAAAAACTATCAAAAAACACCTCCAAACCTGAACAGAATGCAAATAAACACAACATTTATATTGCACAAAATCTGCAAATCATAAGGTATCGATGATCAAAAAATATAAACAGATTAGTTTGTCCTCTTAAATAAAACTATAACAATAAAACCGTGGGAAACTTTCAGGATGTGTCAATTTTCAGAGAAGTAGTTCTTAGTTCTTTGCTGATCCTTCATGTACATGAGTAAGTTATGTAGTCCTAAAAAAGAAAATCTCATCCTGCTGTCTTTTATGAGTGGTATCACTCATTGATGATCTTTTTTGTGGTAAACAAAGGCTGTTTTCACAGCGTGCTGGTGATGACCTCCTCTGACACCTACCACATGGCAGCTGTTTCAGGCATCAGAAATTACTATTGTTGGGGTTGTATCAAGTCAACTTTGGTTATATTCTTTAATAATTATACTTAATTATTAATAATATAAATAAAATATCATTAAACTATGTTTAATCTCGTTTTGGGGCACCAACCTGTAATCAGGTAAATATAACCAAAATATCACTCAAATCAGTCTCAAATTAGTTATTTAATTACTAATATTATTAATAATGAATAACTATATTTAATAAATTGAAGGCGTACACAAAGCCTTCGCACCCAGCTTATATCACAATGTAAATACACCAGTAACCACAAACAACTGCTCTCTTAAATTATAACAGAATTTATTCAAACAAAGCAACATCAATCCAAAATCAATGAACTTAATTAAACAAATAACTATTATAAACTAATCTAAGCAAACAAACATTATCAAGCAAAGGCTTGTGGAAGGGGTGTGAATGTAGGTGTGTGTGTGTGTGTGTGTGTGTGTGTGAGTGTGAGTGTGAGTGTGAGTGTGTGAGAGAGAGAGAGAGAGAGAGAGAGAGAGAGAGAGAGAGAAGAAAGGGGGGGAGATGGCTTCGTACCCTCGTGGTCGTTCACGATGGCGCAAACCTAACAAAGACCTGGGTGCGTGCTTGTGTGGATGAAAGGGAGAGAGAAGGGGGGGGAAGATTACTTCGTCCCACGTGGTCGCCCTTCCGATGGCACACACCTAACAAAGGCCTAAATGTGGCCTTAAGCTCTAAAAGAGACTGAGTTCGGCCCTACACGATCTGTGTCTCTGAGGCGTCTGGATGGCCGCGAGTGTATAGATCTCTGTGCGTAATGGCGCGGTGGTGGAGTTGGTCTCCAGATGTACGTTTACACAGGAATATGTGTGTATGTGTGTTCGTAGAAGGGGAAATAAAAGAGAATAAAAGAGAAATGCGTGCCTGAAGAGGCCGGATCACAGTCCGACTCCCGCGCCACAACTCGGAGTAATTCCCTTCATTCACAGAAACAAACCAATAGCCGAATTCAAGTTAATACGGCTTACACTGGCCTTTCTGATCAGAAGAGTAATACCCGGTTATAACGCTGTTACGCTAAACACATATAGGACGCAGCGGTCCGAAACAACAACAAGAGTTTTAAACAGGTAAAACTCAGGACGCAGGTCCAACAAAGATAAAAATTACAGTTTCTGCTTTGATCAACGATTGTTAAAAACACTCTCTAAAGCTAATTCTGCCCAGACCTAATTAAGCCTCACTTGTGAATCATTTTTGTCCGCGATTGGTGAAAGGAAAAGAGTCCGGCGATGGAGCAGATCGTCTGTCCGTCCTGGTGCAGAGGCGTCTGATGGCGGCGAGGGTCCCTTACGGCGAGAGCGGCTTCGTTGGTTCTCCGTCGAGTGGAAAAATGTCCTTTGATGTCCTTTCGTTGCAGGACGGAATAAGACCGTTATCTTTCTGATAATCTGTTATAGTCTGACGCTCTCCGAGAAACTGAGATGCGTTCACTGGACAATCCGAGCTCGGAATTTAGAACACTGCCGGCCGCGGATTACCTGCGCGCCAAAACTTAAAACAAAGGAAGATTGTTGCAGGAAACAGGAGATCTTCTTGGGTCTCCGAGCACCGAAGGTCAGCGCGTGAAAGAGGGCGAGCAATGGAAGTCTTGGAGTTTTGTAGCCTGGCCTGCTCCATGGGGGTCTACCTCAGGTCCCCTCCAATGAGGAGAGAGAGGTTCCGGTCCCCCCTTTACTTCACACGTAGGTGTGAAGTACCGCAGGGGATTCTGGGATTAAGAGTCCTTTTAGGCCTCTTTGTGATCTCAGTGAATAACTCAAATGAGGCTTTTACAGAGGTGCAGGCCCAAGTCCATTGCTTGACTGTTCTAAGCCTGCGTGGCCCAACACTATTGAGAAAAACTCTGTCATCTAACTGATGGTTTGTTTGCTGTTGTAGTTCATTTCAGATTGTTTTCATCAGCAGCTAAAAACTCTAAAACTTTCAAAATAAATCCCATTGAAGGTTAATAATGAAGTTGACTTGAAGAAAAATGCTGAAGAATAATCAAATATCAATGATGTATGTGTCTTATAAACTCTTTATGTCCGGTCTCAGAATGCAGCTTCTCTCATTCTTATTATCCATGATCTCTTTCACCCAGAATACAACCAAAGCTTCACCCTGTCAATCAACCGTAACCACCGCGGCTTCAGGAGGGTGGTGACGTCGAAAGGTCTCAAACTGGAGCTGCTGCATAAAGGGTGAGTCACAGGCAGCTGCTGCATCCTCACTCAACTGCTGCTGCAGCGAATTTACGAGCTGAAAGTTCATTTGTGGAATCTACCACAGCAGCGATTTGGAAACAAGCAGCATATGTGGTGTTTTTTATTTTATTTTGTTGTCGTTGAATCTTAGAAGTTGAGAATCTTTGATGTGATAGTTTTCAACTTCGACTTCAATGAATCAAGAAAAAGAAAAGTTAATTCATAGATGAAAATTGCAGTTGTGCCATGCTCAAAATGTGCTTAAATTCTATTTAAAAATAAAAAAATTCATAAGGCAAATGAGTAAAATCCATCATACTGTGACATATTGTGCTGCACTTTAACTTTGCAGCGTTCTTTAGACTTTCTAACCCTGATCTCAGAACCTTACCAGGGACAGGGACTGAAAATAAACTACTACTTAAATATGATTGTAATCTTTTCATCAGTTGCATTCATTTGAATTAAAAACAATGACAATATCTTAAATCTGTCTGATAGTGCGCTCCATGTGCAGAGGCTGTAACCCTCACGTCCGTCCCAGGTTTTGCTCCGACCCTCAACATTCGCTGCGTCTTCCCACACTCTCTCCTCCCAATATTTCCTGTCTCTCTCTCTCTCTACTGTTCTATCAATACAGGCATAAAACATAAAGGCATACAAGTTTTTTTTAATCCTAAACAAATCATCCAATCTAAGATTATACCCCTCCATGTCTTTCCACATTTGTCATCAGTTCTTCATCCAAACATATAAGGTGTAGAAAAGAACTTGTAAATCTACCCTCTTATCCTTACTGTACCAACTAGAGTGTGTGTTTTCTTGCAGCGGCTTCTTGCGGAGCGACAAGCCGATCGGGACGGCGCTCGTGAAGCTGGAAAAACTGGAGTCACAGAGTGAAATCAGGGAGATCGTAGAGGTGAGTTTCATTTCAGATCAAATAAACTCAAGAAGAGAAATAAATCTCTTTGTTATATTGAATGAGCTCTTCAGCTGTGACAGATACCATACAGCAGTAAGGTGTTCTCTGGGGACTTGTTCACCTGTAGATATCAGTTACTGAGATCCTTGTGTCTGTCCTGTCAGGTGATTGACGGCCGTAAGCCGACAGGAGGTCGTGTGGAAGTCAAGGTCCGCCTGCGGGAGCCTTTGAGCGGGCAGGACATGCAGACGAGCACTGAGCGCTGGCTGGTCATCGACCAGTCACAGGTAACATGAAATATACCGAGTGCAGCCTTTTTTTAATAAATACATCCGGAGACAAAGCAGTGTTCATGTTCGACCTCTGATGATGATTCTTGTTATCTCCAAGGTTCTTGTTTAGATGCTGCTTCAGAAAGAATGATGATACTCAAGATAAAGGTAATTTTCTTCTCTTATTTTCTGTGTTGTGGTTTAATTGAGAAATTTTTATATTTTTAATTAATTTCATTTGTCATAACAATTAAGCTCATTAAAGCTCATTTTAAGGAAGGTTTAGTTTGTGTGGATTTCAGTCATTCAGTCATTTCTGCTGATATGACTTTACTGTTACTAAAACTATTCACAGGACTTTTATTCAGTGATGTCTGAGCGACTTGGTCAACGTTTTAAATATTTCAATACAAATCCTTTTTACTATAATCTGTTAAGATTTTAGTCTTGTTTAGGGGCTTTGATCAGACCTCCATACAGTATTTGATCTTTTCTTTCTCTGTTCAAGATATTTATGCACTAATGACTCACTGTTTACAGTCGAAGTTAATGTTTCAATCATTGCAGTTTTGAAATGTTCACCCTAGAAGCTGTTGTTTAATTTGCAGATTGGTTTGATTTGTGGTGTTATATTTTCACATGGAGTTACTTTTGTTTTAATTTCCTGACTGATGCGTTTGTTTTGTTTGTTTTTCCAGATTTAAGTCATTCAATCAAATTTGAAGATTTGGAGAAAGAGGAGAACGAGGACAGAGTTTGTGATGTGGTGAGGACAACCTGTCGTTCAGACTGGACACACACCTACACGGGTTTTTGACTTGCTAGAACTTTTGCACATTTGCAAGACATGAGAGCTCCCCTTCACACACTGCAGTCCACCAGGGGGAGACATGGAGCTGGTTCACGGTAGGTCAGCTGGTGTCTGGATCTTCAGGAGGTTAGCAGTGACACCAGAATGACCAACAAAAACTAAGACTGCTAAATCAAAGGAAAGATTATTTTATGAGTCAAGATATAAGCTCATGAGGCGTCAGGAAGAATCTCTTAATGAGATAAAAAATCAGAGAAAACGATGCTAGTGGTCCTGAAAGTCTCCTCCTGCATCTCTCCTGGAGGACAGAAAGTGTCCTGTGCTGAAGCTAAAGGGGCTCAGTGTCGAGCTGACCAGATCCTGCTGCCAGACATAACTCCAGTTCATATAAAATATATATCAAAGCACGTGTACATATTCCTCATATTACTCAGCTCTGGTATCTAGAACTGCACCTATGCACTAATACCAAAGTAATCACTGTTGCTGTATCATCCTGCATATTTGAAATTGCCTTTTGCTGCTGAACTAGTTACCATGACACGGGGGGCTTAATATGGTGACGGGACACGGGCAGGTTCGGACGTGATTTCTCACATTTCATCTGATGTTTAGAACGCAGGTAGCAGCACCCTCACAAATGTTTTACAGGAGTAAGCCAAGAAATAATGATACTATTAAAGGTTTAATAACGTAATACACATAAGACCACCTTCCTTTCTTTGACACCTTTTCGCTCTAATTTAAAAAGTCACTAACTGTGGTCCCTTTATTGCACTTATCTGTGGCTTTAGATTAGATTGTATATTTATCTTGTTTACACTCCGTAGCATAAATCAAAGAGTTTCAGTCTAAAGAGCTTTATGAAGATTTATCTCAAGGCAAATGTCTCTAATTACTCAGACCATGAGGTGGTTAAAAAGGGATCTTTAGTTCAAATATCAGTTGAATGCATTAGAGATAATTTCAAGGGGAATAAACTTCTTTTTTTTTACTGTGCCACATGAGAAGATTTGTACCTCTCTCGGGTCTGTTTGTTAAATATGAAGCCAGAGTTCAAGACACCAGCCAACATCTGTAGAGCTTACCGAACACCAGGACAAGAAACTTCAGTGTCTTCTTTTGTCTTCCTCGTACTGATGCGATATGATACGATGCAATATCATACGCTACGGTATGATACGATTTGAAACCATGAGATACAATATTCTTTGTCCGTTTGGGGAAGTTTTGACTCGGGTGATAAAATGATTTATTCATCTTTGGAGTTTAAACTCTTGACAGTTAGGCTAACCATTACCCCATGCTTTTAGTGTTTATGCTAAGCTAAGCTAATTGCGTCCTGACTTCTGCACATTGTTAGATCACAAAGGAGAGATTGGTAAATATCCTTTAATCAGACTCTCAACATAGAAAGCAAACACGTGTTTGTCCATGATAACTTCAAAGGGTCATTTAATTATTTTTAAACCTAGATTTAGTTTTAATTACGGGTATATATTTTTGAGGCAAATTCTTCGATCTCCTCCTCTAACTCTGGTTAACCTTTCAACCATCAGATTCCTCCGACAGTTTACCTCTCGACATGAGAGAGTAAACATGAGTCTGTCTCAAAAAGCTCTTTGTGTCTACACCAGTTTAAAACTGACTTAAGCTTTTTGTCATCGTTAAGCCCCTAAAATAAGTGGGACAAAAGCTTCAGGTTAAAATACCGGTGTAACTAAGTTAAAGTATTTGTTTAAGCTATGCATCAGATCCTGAATCCTTGACTGAATCCTTCAAATTCTAATAAAGGGCCAGTTCACCCAAATTAGTGAAGCACTTATATTTCATAGTTAATATGTTAGTCAGAGTATACACATAGTTTAGCCTGTTTAGAAACCGAGGACAAATCTCTTCCTGCTGTTCAAGTCCAAGACTAAAATACTGACTAACAGGGCGTTTAATTTTCTCATATTTTATAAAAACTCTTCTAGTAATGTAACATCACTGGAACAAGTCTCCACCTTGTATTTCATCTTAAATGAACATTGTTGGTTTGAGTTATGAAGAAACAAACGTAAGAAGAGAAATGTTTTGGGAGTCATTTTGAGTGAGCTGGCCCGTCGAGGTTCAAACTGCAGCGTTGTGATGAAAGCAACGCGACAGGCCGTAACACACGTCACTGAGCCAACCACATTATTCAGTTTGCCACCAGGTTTACCTCAACATTGTCTGCAACATTGCTACCTTTCCAAACATTTCTGTGGGGTCACAACATTTCACTTCATGACTTAAAGAAACTCACAAATGACTGACTTAACTTCCTGCATTGATTTTAATAATGTTACCTGTTCTATTTCTGTGGAGACATTGAGATGCCCAACATGTTTACGAATAATGAATGATGTCACTTTGTTTCTATTCACTCAATAATCTCTAAATCAGAATCAGCTATATTTCGCTTTTCAATTGTGGACTGGATTGGCCTGCCCACCTTTCAAATGTACCCATTAAAAAAGTGTCCTGTTTTAATTTGAGCTGTCCAGTATGTGTTTTTTCTGGAGTATTTATAATAAACAGAAGGTCATTGTTCAGTTTTCTAGAAGTTTTTATTTTACATATACTACAATTTCTTGATAAAGACCACTTTTCTTGACATGTATTGTAAAGAAAAAAACAAGATGTACAGGGGTTTTTGGCTTTTCAAACATCAACAGAAAAAAATAAAATATATATATTTAAACAAAACCCAGACGATGACAGAGCAGATTTTAATTCTTCAAAGATTCATCCAAACATTAGAAGAAAACTGTTAAAATGCAAAGTTGATTCCGTCTCCGTTGCCGTTTCAGGCTTGTTTCTGTTTGCATGCAGAGTTATAGATCGGATCGTAACATCTTCCAACTGAATACAGAGATAATGCTACTTTTTCAGTCAAACTAATTGCACCTTGTCTTTATTTTTTTATCTTTTCTTTTTTTTTGGGATTTGGGACATATTGCACACATCAGAGAATGCCAAAAAGTAAAACCGTAACAGAAGACAAGAAGTCTGAAAAAGAAATCCTCACGTCTCCTCTTTGTTATGCCGATTTATAAAAAAGAGAGATGCCGTCGGATGATGGCAGCTGATGGCCGTCACACAGTGAAGACACAGTGATTGAGAAACACCCACTCTGGTATGATCACAGTAATAAACCCAGAACTGGTGACCTTGACCTCTCGTTCAGCCTGTACTGAACATTTCTAATCTGCTCCACTAACATTATATCTGCTACAGTAGCTCCTAAAATACTTCAAATTGAGATATAAACGAATAAAGAAAGGCTCAAGTTCTAACTTAACCTCGAAGCGCCGGCTCGTCTGCAGATTTTTCGTGATTGTCTGATTCTCATTGTGATGTCGAGATTGTTCTGATGAAACCTCTCGTACTGTACCGACAGTACTTTTTGTGTAGCCCCGTCTGGTTCATATGAGCACGATTAAAGATGGAGAAACTGCCTCACGACGCTGAATGATTATTGTAAAGAGTGGTCCAGACATGACAGGGTGCTTTTTGGTGACTAGTCTATCTAGAGGTGGACGATCACATTTAGCAGATTGGAACAGAAACAAGAGGAATACATTCTTACATTTTTTTCCAGGTCCATGTAGCTGCAGGAGAACACAGTCCAGAGCAAAAACAGATCTTTTTTTTTTTTTTTCATTTTAACTTTAAAAAACAAAACAACTGTTGAGGCCTTTTGAAGACAACATAGCAGTCTACAGGGTTCCTTCCTATGCAGGTCTGCTGCAAAGTCTCAGGCGGGATGTTGGTGATTCCAGGGATTTGGAAGGACGATTGCAGAATATGTGAGATGAGATACATTCAGCTTCAGGTCGATCAAACTCTTGTTTCTGCAGGAACCCTGGATCTTTACAGCTGAGGTTTTTTTTTCTGCAGCTGAAAACAAAAAAACTTCAGGACTCAAAGGCCTCCTAGTCGCTCGCTTGAACTCTCCTGTAAATGGCTTAGAATCCAGTGCACTGCTTCTGCAATTTATTACAGTTCTTATATAGTTATTTATTCATATATATATATACTGTATTTATATATATCTTTTACATATTCAGTTATTCTCTTTTGTGATTAAAAAGACTAGAGTGTCTTTCCAACCAATGACAAACAACGAGCCCCGATGATGTTGAAGATGAGTGGATGAGATTAAAAAATGATTTTTCTGCTTTATGTACAGATTGAGTTGATCAATAAAGCATTGGAACCTTTTTTTTTTACCAGCTGTCTACTGTAGGACAAAAGGGTTTTCAGAGTTACCATGTAGTCTTATTCCACAGAGCGTCAGTCTGATGAGTCCATGATATCACTTCCTGCGTTTAACTTGGAGCTCTGGAGGCTACAGACGCAGAGTAACAATGGAGGAGGAGTCGTTAGCGTCTATAAAAATATGTAGCAACACGTATTTGTCCATGAAGTAAAGCATCTGGTGACTTATGAGTAAAGCTTAAGAGGTGGAGATGAAAAGTTGTCTCTCTCTTATTTATTTTTTCCTCACTTGATGATTCGCTGCTGCAGGCACTGAGCACCTCGGTGCAAAAAGGGTTCAAAGAAAAACACCACACTGACGCATCTTCCAGCTCCTTGTTTAACTTCAGATAAATTATTCCAGAGGTTTGAGCCGTGGATGTGCGTATCCCTCGTTTCAGAACATCCGTGCTACACAGAGGCCTTTGCTGATAATTGTCAGTGCTTCAGGACCGCTGGCTGCCACAGTGACTTTGGAGGGACGAGTTTGTGTTAACTAGAGCAGCTACATACGACGCCTATGAAACGTATCCCCCCCCACAGGGGAGGAATTCATGTTGGATTGATTTACAACTTTCAATCAAAGTTCATTCAAAGTGGCTGATTAACAGAAAAAGACCATTTGAAGTTAAAATAGCAAGTTCTCTCGATCAGCTGCTACTTGAATATTACAAACAGCTGTGTGTCTGTGTGGATAATAATTCTTTCAGGTTGCACATCTGGATGCTGACATTTTTCCAACATTTGAAAGGCTGCATGAAGTCTCGGAGCAGACAGCTTCTTCCAAAGAGTCGATCAACAAAACCTGGTTCTGGTATCTTCAAACATCTGAGCTTAAACTCCTGAGGCCACAGTGATATCAAAGTACATTAACTCAGTCACTATACTTTAAGTAGATACTGCAATACTTCTTTGAAT